AACCAAATCTACGCGTCGAGTTATTTAAGCACAAGGACTAGTAAAATTTAGGTCTAATGGGCCGAAAACACAAACATGCCAAAAAGCAAAACAACAAAGTTATATAAGACGCCTTTTGGGAGAGGTGTCAGTTGCTAGGGGGTGCAGAAAGTTGACATCTGAAGACCAGCCGTCATGTCACCTAGTCGGTCCTTGTCCCATTGCCTATAGAGCGTGTGCCATGGTTGGCACTACAAGCATGCCATGGAGCCAATAGATTTTTACGAACTTCAGCCATATTTAAACTTAAGCAGCGGAAGATATAGGGGCTGTTTGATTTGTAACTAATTTTGCCAAAGGTTGCCACACTTAAGGTTAGGCGAGTTTGACCAAATTAGGTGAGTGTTTGGTTCAAGCCATACCATAGTCAAGCCACACTAGGGTCCCACATAGCATACACATAAAAAGTGTGGCAAGATTCCCTTAGGCTTGCCAATTTGTGACTCTCATTTTGATGAACTAACCTTAGTCCATATATGCTGGTTCCGGTCATTGCGGGGCGTCGTCTTTTATTTCTTTGCAAAACAATCGGTGGTTTTCTAACTCCACCCACGTCGACGTGCATCGATCAGCTGAATGAAGCATTAGACACAAGGAATATGTGTGCAGGGGATCAAGATGCATGCATGCATGATTCAAATTTGTAGAAGCGGGAGTCCTAGATCTCTCTCGCCGTCCGGGTCATCATCTTTTTATGTATCCTGCAACAAATTGCACGCTGGCGGTCGGTTTACTAACCCCACACACAGTGATAGACGGTGTGCCTTGATCAGCTGCATTCAGCATTAGACACGGAGAATATGTGTATACAGGAATCAAGATGCACGCAACTAAGTATCTGTTGCCATATAGACTGGCATCCAGAATCCAGAAATAAGAGAAGGATGGATGTACAAGCCTCCTCAGCGATCGCGATTCTCGACCGTTGGATCGGGCTGATTGATGCGTTTTCGTCCGTTGGATCGACATCTGAAGGAATCTGGGCCGTCAGATCAAAATAAGTTACTTCTGAAATGAACAGTAACTTCCATTCAGTTTTCCTTATTGTTTTTTCTTACCATAGAATTACTATGCTGCCTCGTTGACGTGTGGGGCCACTCGCTGGTGGGCCGCGCCGGCCAGCGACTGTGGCTGGGAGAGTGGACTATGCGGTGTGTGGCCTCCTTCAGCGCGCAAATATCCCGTGCCACCGCCGAAAATACCGTTCCCTGCCGAGGGTATATTCGGTATTTCCTGTGATGGGTCTGTGCGTGTCATCTGATGGTTGGCTCGTGGATGGATGAGGTCAAGCAAGGCGTCGATTGGGTAAGAACCCTAGCATCCACTCCCGTCGCCGTTCCTCTCATGCCGCCTACCTAACCGCTGCTCCTCTCCTCGCCGAGCTCGCTCTCGCCGCCGCATCCCATCCCCGTCGCGCTCCCGCCACCATTCCTCCTTCCCTCCTACCACTCCCCTCCGCTAGGCCTAGAAATCGACGAGGAGGCCGAGCCGCCACCCGCTACCGATCCTCAGACCGTCCTGATCGACCAAGCTCGGGGTCGAGGGGCGCGCCGGATCCGGGCGCGGCGGCTCATATCCCCCATGCTGCGCGGAAGGACGGCGACCTCGCCACCCGGTAGCCGCCTTCCTGGTCAGCGCCCTGCGGACGCGTTCCCGGCGGACTATGTGGCTGCGCCCGTCGAGACAGAGAAGGAGCACATGCCCGCCGACAGGTACCCCAGATGCTGTGGCCGCGGCTCGAGGGCCTGGATTTGGCCGCCGTTAGAAAGTACGCCATAGATGGGATTTGGAAGGTGAGCCCCCGCATCTTGATTTGATTCAACTCGTTCCTTTCTAGCTGGTACTGATATGTGATGGGCCGGATTTGGAATATGCCTTTTTCATTGGATTGCTGCTCAATGACACCGTCATGACCAAGGGTGCCGTGATAGCTGATTAAATCTGCAAATTCTTTGCCATTGACAGCGGCGTTGTTTGTCAACTACCTTGATAGGTTCCTCTTCGTCTATCCCCTTCCTGTAAGTCTATGATCTCATTAGCAACTGAAGAAACCCTGCTAAAATCCCATAAAGTTGTTGGAATCATTGAGAAATTGATTTCTCATGGCAGGAAGGCAAAGCGTGGGACGGCTCTTGGCAGTGGCTTGCATTTGTCTCGCTTCAAAGATGGAGGAGACCTATGTGCCACTCCCCATGGACCTGCAGGTCAGTGAGTGATGCATCTCATCTCATAATAGACCTCCGCGTATTGAAAGGTTATGTCTTTCAGTTTCATCTCAAATAGTCGATGGTTTTTGCTTGACAGGTGATTGAGGCAAAGTCTTCCTTTGTACGGCAATGAGCATAAAAAGGGTGGAGCGGTTACTTCTTGCTCATTTATTGACTACTTCCTTCGCAACTTCAATCATCATGACACACCCTCCATGCTCGCATTCACCCGTGACCGACCCCATCTCGAGCACAACTAAAGGTATGAAAGTTAAATCAGATCACTTTTATAGTATTCATAGATCAATGTGTTAAATCGAATATCACTTTTAGTATCCATCAATCAATGTGTAAAATTTGGCAGCGATCAATTATTAAAGTTTGAGAATTTGGATTGCAGGAGCTGATTTTTGGGTTCAGACCTTCATAGTTTGCTGCACCTGTTGCACTTGCTGTATTTGGGTTGCTGCACCTGTTGCACTTGTTGTTATTTGGGGAGCGCAACTTCAGTGGTTGAAAGAGCTACAACTAATTGCATGTGTATAAACAAGGTAGTCATCGTCTCAATGTTATCATTAACTAAACCATTTGCCCACCATTACCTAATATGTTAATGCAATGATGTTTTGTAGGAGCGAGTGTTAAGATGCTACAAATTGATTCAGGACAAGATAGCAATGGGAACCACGGTCATCAAATCGGTTGGATCATCAATGTTCTATGTGCCGCAAAGCCCGATAGGCGTGTTGGATGCTGATGTATGTCTCAGCCAACAGAGTGATGATACTGTTGTTGGATCTCCAGCAACATGATTCCACAACTCTTCGACAAGCAAAAGGATGAGAATTGGCAGATGACCAATCACATGTCGTGATGTACTTAAGGTGTGTTTCTCACCATCTTGGCTGTTTTGTTGTTTCAAACATCTCAATTTAGTTTGGTCACTCGAGAACTGTAGTGTGGTTAAGTAGTTGCTGGAAGGAACAAAAACACAATAGTTAAGACTTGACCCATAAAAACAAACGGTTTCTCGTGAGCCTATTCATGAAATCGACATATGTAAGGGGCATGTTAAGCTGTTAGGGTCAACCTTACAAGTAGAAACACGATGAATGGATATCTGGTGATGGTACATCAGAATCGCCAAACTCAACAGAATATAAGCATGTGGTACTAAAAAGTACTGCTAGAAATTTTCAATGTTTAGATGGTGTGATGTTCCATGTTCGTCACTGTTGGGAATACTTTGATAGGACTAAATGAATAATAGAACCCTTTGTGTTTTATATGATTTATTATTGAGGGCCTGTTTGGAAGAGAGGGGTTGGGCTAGGAGTTGGTTTAATTTGTACATTAGGACAAAGATGATTCAGTGATGAAACCATAGTGCTAATTCAATGTATATATCCTACTCAATGTGCACATCAACATTCTTATGAGCAATTTAATATGTCCATCTCATTCGCCGTTATTTCCGCTGAAGATTATTTGAAATTATCAGGCAGTGGCCCTCTTCAAGTCCTACTTTGGTGGAACTTTTAATGAAGATGCTATTAGGAATAACTTGGTGTTTATATACCAACTTCTTGATGTTAAGGGCACATACAGTTTTGGACTTTGCTTGGTGCTTCAGTTTCCACCATGGATTGATTTTTTTTGTGATACCGACTCTGCAACTGTGCAAAGATTATGGACATCAGTTATCCTCAGAATCTCTCACCTGAAATTCTAAAGTTATATATAACCCAGGAAGGCGTACCGTCGCCATTTTCCTCCAAGATTTGAAATAGAAAATAATCTGTCAAAACTGAAAGAAATTGGAGTACTGAAGGTCTGCTTGTACTGTCATTTTTTTGTTTGAATTGCGCACCAAAAGAAATTGTTGCCAATCAGTTAGTAGCATAATTATTGACAGGGAGTATTTAGGATAATCGATGAGTTTTACGTAGATGCAAAAAATCTGTTAGAAGTTGTTCCTTTTTTTTCTGTGTGCAACTTTTGTATATGGGGGTTCATGAATATCATTTGTACTGTCCAGATTGTAGCTTGTACTGCCATTTCTAAAAAATAGTACACCAAAAGATCAGTTCCAGCTCCATTCTGAACTAGCAGGGTTGTAAGTGGACGCAGTGCATTACAATACGATATCCCTGTCTCATACATAACAAGTCGGAACTCTTCTATTGCAAGTATCTGTCAAGATGGGATATTCAGGTCGCTCTGTGTAGTGGGCGCCTCATCATTTATAGGAAAGTTATTAATTCTAGGAAGCGATTGCATGCTCATGTAGGACTTGATGAAGGAGAGGTGAGTACATGAAAATATGTCCAGAGAAAATTCTCTTTATTACCTTCCTTTTTCTATTTTGAGATATATTCTTCAGTTCCTTTTTAAGATATATTCTTCAGTTTATTTGTACATTGATGCCCCAGGTCTGGTGAGCTTGTTTCTTTTTGAGATATATCTTCAGTTTATTTTTACTATTTATATACCTATATTCATTGACTTATCATGTGAAACTGGTGTTTCAGTATTTTGAGATTTATTATTTATATTTGACTGCTTCATTGTTCTCTGAAACTGCAGGTATGTCCCAAGTGAACTGGATTATTATGATGATTTTGTCGATTCATAGTTCTTTTTTTCATGAAATAAATGGTGTTCACCTTTGGGCAGTTCAAGTGATGGAAGATATTGTTTCAATAATATTGAAGCTTTTTAGATACTATGGCAGTTGAGGTTCATTTGAAGTCGCGGATGGATGTATGATTTATGCACAAATGTATACGCGCCATGTAGTGGTTAATTAGAGGTATACATTAGTGCATACAAGTCTTTTATTCTTTGCTTCATGACCTGAACAAAGAGATACATTATTAGCTTAATTGGAGTATTGTCGGTTAGTGCAGTATCTATGGACTGTTAATATTGCTGTTTTTGTTATTCTATGCATGTGAACACTGCTGAAAAGGGTGTCTTCGGAGAATGCATTTTTTCAATATTTCCAATTAAAAGGCTAAAATTAACAATTCATTTGTAATTTCACTATGAGCCCTGTTGTATATACTGCCAGGCTACACATGTATCTCTTACTATGTCATCAAGCACATGTTATCAGTTTATGCACAGATTTATCTAGCTTTGCCGTCATTTTTGTAGTCGATGTGTAGGTTTTACCACAGTATCCATTTTACCATTTATGGTGTTTGACTGTATCCTGTTTGCCACCGGGCTTATCTAAAACCGTACACTTCTTGCTAGCTCCCCACTAGGTTTCTAGGGTAAAATCTATAGCTAAAAATAGACGGTCACGGAAGGCAGGGCACATCTGACAGCCAAAACTCCCCACAGTAGTCCTTCTGCTTGTATTGTGCTTGGGTTCAAATATTTCGGCTGGAAGTTTTCGTGCAGCTGCAGAATAATTTAGAGTACAGTTCCCGGACCTTATTCATGTGTTCTTTTTATAGGTGTATGGAAGTACAAGTACGCTATGGCTAATTTGTTCCTCTTTTTTTGTTGTTACCGTGTCCTATCTCAGGTGTTCTTCGGCTAAAATTAGGCTGCTCCTGCCATGTCTACCAGTGAAATGCCTCCTTCCATGATAAAGCAGCCTACTCTTAGGTACTTGCATATGGTTGAACCGTCGGTTGTTCAGGCTTTTTTAGTAGTGATTTCGTGCACCAATAAATAGATGTTCCTACTATCTTAGAAAGTTTTAGCACGTGACAAGGGAAACTTGATTTATTGTTTGTGTGCTGCCTAATTTGTTTTGCAGGTACAGATCTTGGTGTTGATTCTGCCTCACCTTTCCAGTCGGTAGTGGTTTGGTTTGCTACAGGTTTCCTCGGTTTTCAGGTAGCACCCCTCCCCCATTTATTTTACTTAGGTTTGATGAAATTTGGATATTGTTTGTTGTCGAATGGATTCAGAACCATTGTACTGGCATAAAAAAATAGATGGTGATGTATTGACACATTCCAAGTGTAGAATTACTTAGTGCCTTTCTTAGTGTGTGCGCAGTCCTTCATAGATGTTTACTATGGTGCCTGCTATTGGTCATAGTCATAGGGATGATATTTACCTTACTAAAAGGGCAATGGCTCATTACATTGTTAATTCCGGTTGCTTGGTTCAGTGTCATACAATATGATGCAGAAAATACTATAGTGGTTTTTATTCAGAGAAAGCACTTGATAAGAAGGGATTCAGAAGAAGCAACTAAATAGATAGGGCGAGCCTTGCATATATAAATGAAAAAATAATTTGTTACCATGATTCAATTGCACATATATCTTGAGTTGGATCAACACGTCACATTTGATATAGTGATTTGTCATGAGTGCCCTTTGTGAGATTTAGTGATTTTAGAAGAGCATTGATTCAGAATTAACAAACTTTGTTCTTCGAGATGGAAGAATATGTTGTGTTGTTGCTATCGAGATCTAGCTTTCTAATTGTTGATCCTCTTCTAGGCTATTGGTGTTGTCAATTCACAGGACAAAAGAATTTTGGGGTTTCATGGCATCATAACCTTATTGATGGTTTTGTAGGAATTGGGCAAAGCTTGAGGATGATGTAGACCGCTGCGCCACCTCTCTTGCCATCCTGGTCGCTGCCTAGCCACTTTCTTCGATTCAGAGGCTTGTGCCACTACAGGTCTGTGATTCTTATCCACTCACCCATTGCAGTGTAGCTTCACATTCTTGGGTTTTTAGTTCTTCATTTCTTCTTTTTGGTGACCGGTTGAGCTGATTTAGCTCTTTTCTTCTTTATCTGTTTCAACAATTGGATACTTTAAAGGATTCGAATGGGGTTCATTGTGTGAAACTGAACCCTGTTGCCATGTCTCTACCTTCATGCAGTGGCCTTGACTAATGGGATCCTTTTAACGCCGCCACTGGAGGGCCTTCCGCCTGAGCCAGGATCTCTTCTACCCTGCACCGTTGTTGTGAACTCATACATGCTGACAGCCGGCTCCATGCTACACTGCTGCAGGCTGCAGGTAGCATCTCTATTCTTCTTTTTTCTCTACCTTAGTTTGAGCTTTCTGTTTCAGTTTTTGCAGCAAGATAACCAATGTCTTGGGAAAGCCTTCATACTGTATTTTATATATTGGTGAATTCTGCTTGAAGAATTCATGGCCCACTCCCTCTCTAAAACTTAATCAAATAAATATAATATATCTCCTCTACCCTTGCTACGAGAAACATCTTCTATGTTAAATATATAATCTTTGCCTTGTGTTGTGTACCACTTCTTTCAGAATATGACCCTTATTTCCCTTTAGTTTCTATGACTTAATTCTTTGCTTGAGCGACGGTTGTAGATACTTCCCTTGAAAAAATAAATAGTTTTAGATACTTGATCCATGTTTACGCAGACAGTTTATGATGGTGGTTTGGTTACATGTTTGTGGCTGGAACATGTGTACATCAGAAACTTTAACTACAATATGGTAGACATGTACAGGACAAGGCAAGAAATCAGAAATGGTTAGAGCGGTATGCCTTGAAGAGAGCCAAGAGGAAGAGAGGCGAGTGTACATGCCTGAAGACGGCAAGATACCACTTCCACGACGACGTCAACATCGTCGTGGTCTATCTTCACCGGCACCGGCACCGGGGGCGCCGCCACAACAGGGTTATGGAGCAGTAACTGCAAACATAGAACCCCATATTATGATGGGTAACTGACTTTACTTATAAGACAACATGAACTGACAACTGCAATTATAACATATCTGGTATTTTCATATTCTTTGTCATGTGTAGAATACATGGTCTGATAGAGTCAGCGTTTGTATGAACTTTTG